AACGGAAAAGATAATTAACGAGCGTTCTACTCGTCGAGTGTCTCTGGAAACGTTACGTTGTTTCTGTTTGGATTGACTGTGCGAGCCGTACTGTCGTACCTCGTACATCCATGTCACGATCAATGTAATAACAACAGCTGACAGCATGATAATTGCCCAACCGTTTTCTCAAGTGAATTACCTTTGTTGGGAGAAAGGATTTGTATCACAGATCTTCTGGCTAAGCCTGCACCCTGGCAATTCGATATTGAGGTTCAACGTGATTGTTTGGCTCGGCACTTGATCCCTTTCTCTTTCTTCATCTCGATTCGCTCTAGAGGAAAGACTCAACCGTGTATCTTTACGTGTTCGATTCTCTAACTATCTTACAGGTACACGCTGACCGGTCGGTATCGAGCGGGATAGCTTTACGATCCCGGGATCGGGAGAAAGTATATTGCACCGGCTCGAATCCTTCGCGTTACTCGGGAAAGCCTCGTCCGATTTTATGACGTTCTCCGTTTTATACAGTCGTGTTCATTCCAGCGGCTCTCCTTCACTTTGATCGGGACTAATAGATTAAAAACGCGGGGAGATTTCTTTCTTTCGTTTTCCTTTTTGATCAATTTTCTCTTCGATAAGTTTTCTCTTTTTTTTTTTCTTTTTGCCTCTTCTAGGAATGAAACCGCACGCTTATATCCGCTTCAATTTATTTTTCATTAGAAGATTCCGTAAATCATCGAACGCTTAATGAAATTAATACACACAATTACAAGAAATGACATTGTGAAATAAAATTGGCAGGTATTCAATATTTATAATGCGAGAAATATATACTGGAAATTATATGTCAAGGATCTGATCGAAAAGGGACCAGTCGATCCAATATTTTCTTTTCGTCGCTTGGAATATCAGAACGATTCTCTCTATTAATTTTTTTTAGTGTTCTTAACTATGTTTCTCTTCGAGCACCCTCTGACTTACGAATCTTTTGAGTTTGAGCATGTTTTCCGAAGAAAAATCTTTTCATACTTAAATTCGCCATGATCTCGAAGCTCAGATCCTTTACAACGAATCACATGAAATTTCTCTCTGTAATCATTCCTTCACGAAACAATAGTCACATGTATTTAAAATATTGACAATTTTTCACAACACTTTCATGCTATTGTGTCTTATTAAAATAACTTGCAACATATTCCTATTACTAACAATTGCATTCCTTCTTCTGTTTCAGAACTCTGCTGCGTTGCCTCCGTCTTTTACCCCCGAATTTTCCTAAAGATATCCGATAATAAAGAAACACGAAAGGAAGCGAGCATCGGTTGCCGAATTTCGGTGAATCGCGCGAGGAAACATTCGCCAGGCGTATAAATGAAATCCCATATCGCGACGTATCGGTGTTTCCGCGACCCTCATCCCCCGCGAGCGGAGCTACGTGCGTGGAAATCAGTAATGGAGCTAAGAAATTAGACGATCGATCCGACCCGCGTTGCACTCGGTCGCTAAAATGCACAAGGAGAATTCGTAGGCTCGTGTCGGTGCTCGCCCTGCTGCTGCTGCTGCTGCTGCTGCTGCTGCTGCTACTGCTATTTCCCACCTGGAGGTTAATTAAAGCCGATGATCGGGTCTAATGGTAAGCGTTCCGACGTCAGCGAAAAATCCAACTGGCCAGTTTTCCGCCGATCTCCCTTCTCTGCGCCTTTTTTTTTTTTTTCAACGATAGAACCCGAAACTCGGCGAATCGCTATTAGAGACTGCCAACTTTCGACATTACCCCGAAGATAACCTTTCGTTCTTGCAACTGTAGTCACTCAGATCGCGTCTGGAAAGATTTCCTCGCTTGAAACGATGTTGAAAGGATTTCAACCTAAGTAGCAGGGTTTTAACTTGAAGTGGAATGACATAAACTCTGCTGAAAGTAACAGTTTTTCGAAAGCTTTAGGTAGAACGTTGTCAGAATTTTCGTGAGAAACATCAGTGACTGATATTTTATTTGTTACTCGTAAGTTTTTGAAGAGACCAGAAAACGATTAGAAGTTTCTTGCGTGTAAGTGTATTGACCATTATTAATGAGAGAAATTCTATTTCGTCGATAGCTTATAATTGTTATCGACGAGGAATATTTACTTTGGTTGCACAAGGCTGTTGTTGGCGAGTTTGCCTCGCTAATAGTATAAAATATTACTACGCATTGAACCAAGATAATTCTCCGCAGCCACATTGAAATATTTAATAATCTGTAGAGTTAATTTCGAATGAAGAGTGAGTTTCGCAGAAATTAATAAAAAAAATGAATAATAACAATTGAAAGTTAACCGTTATGTGCAACCGAAATAAATTCCCTTCATCGGTAATGATTGTCAACAGTGAGGAAAATTTTTCCATCACTTGCAAAATTCCATTCCAATCGGAAGAAACAATTGTTGTTCCGTGATATTGTCAATTTTGGTAATAACAGTTGGTCGCTGGCGTGATGTAGGAGCAATATTCCGTGCAAATCGACGAAAGCGTTGACCTATACCACTGCGAGGCGGGAACTTCGGCTACGTAGAAACGATGATCGAGTTCGATGACGCCGTTCCCAAAATCCCCGGGGTTCGTTCTGAAGGGCTTCCGCATATCCCACGGTACGGTCGAAAATCTTTTAGATAGATTCTTGGGAAAAAGATTCGAGCGTCGCTGATAAGCGAAAGCCGTCCGCCTGAAACAGCTTATCTCCCTCTTCCTGCTCCTCGGCGCGAGTCCGCGGATGACGAAGAGCGCGTGATCCAGTTAGACGATGCTAAACTCCGGCCCTCCTCCTCTGTTTCCCCTTTACCCGGGTACTGATAAGTACTGATTTCCATAATGGTTCCATGTACGAGTACGCTCGCTCTATCTTCGCCCTGAGCCACTTTCTGTCGTCTTATCATACACCTCTTTGACTCGCGGCTCGATCGATGTTACACATCGATTTCTCTCTGATTTACGACGCCGTTAAATATTCATCGCGATCGATTTATCGGCGGGAATTAACATCGTTCAATCAGGTCTTTGAGAAATTTGTCTCGCGGCGATGCACGTGTGTCCCGAGGAATTCGAAGGCTGTTCGTTAAATCTGTGTCACGCGTGTCAAACAGAAATGTCAAGTTTTAGTTACAAGAATGTTAGAATCGTAGAAAAATGCATGGTAATGGAATTCTGTAGAATCAGGCAAATAACGCAATCGTGTTGATTCTTTTTGACGAAATTTGAAAAGTTCAATCACTCGCTGTTTTTCTTCGTAATTTTTGTATATTTTAATTACGTTCTATTTTATCAGCGATGGCATGCTGTTGTCTGGTGTATGAAATGAAAGAAGGAAACAAAGAATCATTGCTAATTGGAAGAATTGGCGATAAGAACTTCAAACGACAATATTTCTCGTGAAACGACTCTTGCGAGACACTCTAATGGCTTTTGCGCTGTTTTGTCTGAAAAGTTCGTAAATTACTACTATTGTTATCATGCCGGCGAATCATACGAATATAGAATAGTACGCAAACTGAACGAAAACGAGTAGTGAAAGGGAAATTGGTGTCACGAGCTTCATTTTCTTCGCTAATATACCGGAAAACGGAAGTGTATGACGTTTTCTTCTTGAAACCACAGATAGTCAGTACTTCGAAGATTTCTCAAAGAAACATTAACGAAATTGGGACACCATTACGAGCAGCAAAGATTTCGATGCAAGAAAAACGCCGCCCTGTAATTTTTATTTCGCCTTCTCCTCTGGCGGAGAAATCGTGCCGCCTCTTCGTTCTCTTTTCCAACCCATTTCGCGAATCGTTCCAGACTTTCAACTAAAGTCATCGATGATTATTTTTGCGTCCTTTATCCGACATCAATTTGGACGTCCCAGGTCAGATATTCACCGTTTCCACAAAGAGTACTGCTCGCCCGAACACGCACGTATCCGCGCTGGTCGTTCCACTTTATCCGGCATCAAAGAACGATGAAATTTTTCTGCGAGAGATGAGAATTTAAATCTAACGGAGCCGAAACCGAGATGAATAGCATGCTCCTACGAAATTATTTTTCCGCACGCGGTGAACTTCCCCAATTTGGCGCGATAATAAACTCTCCACGCTCGTCAATATACTTTCCAATAAATATCTCATCATTTCTCGATCTATGAATCGCCAGTTAAAGTCGGTCCTTGGTGGCCGTTTCGCCTTGCGGAAATTAAATCTCCGCAGATAGGCAGGATGTTTTTCCGTTTCGAATAAATAAACTAAATTCTCCCTTGTTCTCCTTTGTTTTCCTTCGTGCAAGTTTAATCGACGTCCAAAATACGGAACGTCGGGAACGAAATTTAAGACAGAGGGTAGACTTCATAGAGTTGTCAGTTTTACTTTGCGGCAAACAAAATCTTTATAAATGAAAGACGAGGAGAAAACGACCAGATTCGCTCTACTTTTCTCCCTCTCGAGAATTCAAATGTCCGAAACACGCAAGAAAATCAGATTCGAGGCGAAAGGAAATTTCATTCGTTCCTCATCAAAGGGTCATCTACTGCGGAGATCAAATCTTTAACAAAATTTTCTAAGTACCAACGTCCGAGATATCGACACCTATATAATATCTGAGAAAGCCGAATGTCCGATATATCGACGGCCTCTCTCTTCATGTTTTGAGTAGTTTGAACCTTTATTTGACTTGATTAACTTTGAAGATATAGAAACTTACAATCATTTATATGAAAAACATGCAAACTTAAACTTTGCCTGGCGATTTCACTATCCGACCACTAGAGATATTTAAATACCCCGTCTTTAAAAGGTTAAAGAAAAAAAAAGAAAAAAAAAGGCGAAGAGAAGGGATCTCCTCTCGTTTCGGATAACCAAATTCCCCAAAGTCGCGCGAGTAATTCGAAGCGGAAACGAAAGAAAGAAAGAAAGAAAGAAAGAAATCAGAAACTTTCCTCCAATTTTTCGTGAGAACGGTGACTCGCGTTTATCAGACGTAAACCGGAGGAAAACGGGCACGGGCAGGGTTGACGTCTGAACCGATTGCTACTGAAATTTCAGGGAAAACCGCAAGCTTGCGTCGAGGTGGCGCGCAGTTAGCGCTTGAACAGGCCTAAATGAAGAGCGATCGTCACGGGGACAGGTGATCGATAGCGATTGCGAGGAGCCGCGTGCGACTCCGTGTCTCTCTCTCTGTGTGTGAGAGTGCGCGCGCGCGCGCGTGGTCGCACAGGGTAATCGTGGCGGTGACGCGCGGGGGTAGGGACGGAGAGGAGCAAGATGGAACTCTTCCTGATTCTCGTCTGTCTGATTGCGCCGCCCACCCTCTCGCTCTCGATCAAGAGCAAGCTCAATCCACGGATCGTTCAGACACGGTACGGCGAGGTGCAGGGGGTCATACGCTCCTTCGAGAACGCCAAGTTCCTCAAGCCAATCGACGTCTACCTTGGGATACCGTACGCCACCCCACCGATCGGCGGCAACAGATTTTCACCGACCAAGGCACCTAGCCCGTGGGAAGGAGTCAGGTGAGCATAGCCAAACATCTCCTGCGCCGGTGTTTACACTACTTTTCCAACTATCGCCCGATCCTGCTGACACGGTTGTCCACCTTTCCCCATGAATAACGTAGCGCCCGGGAATAGCGACGATAGCGATAAATTAAGTAAGTAACGAACGTTTAGTTTAACATTCGGCCGTGATAAATCGAAGGATTTCAACTGTTTTCAAAGTTTCATTTAGTTGGCGCTCGGATTTAATTTTCATTGAACGAGTATCGAGCGGCCGCCAAGGAAATTCTGTCGTTCGTTTTCGCGACGAGTAAAGAAGAATAATTTTTTACATTTTTCTCCTCGTAAAAATATCGCAATGTATAAGTTACAATAGGTTGATTTTTTATTCATTTCGTTGCTCGATATAATGGAGCGAAATTTAATATTCCTATTTCGATTAATACGGCTTGATTTTTACATATGTGATATCTGAGGAGGGCACGTTTGCATTGAGTAAATCCACGAAAGAGTTAATTAATTAATTGAAGACTGGCAACGACATATTACAATCTCATTATTCGATAAGTACAATTTTGAAACAACCTCTTTTTACTTAAAACCGATAGCCTTACATTTCCCCGCAGCTAAGTTTTAAACAGTGAACAAACGAAGTCGAACCACTCTTAGCAAAGATGCACCGAACGTTACTTATTGTTGAATATATAATATTCGTAATTTTATTTGTTCGAACAATGTACAGTAACTTCAGTACTCCGCCACTTTTTAAAAATTTTACATTGCGCGTAAACACATTCGAGCCACGACATACCATTGAAAATAAAAAAAAAACAGGGTGAAGTGACACAATTTGTTCGGAAATATAAAATCGGATCGTTGAGAAACCTACGTTCGAACGTTGGCAATCGTCCGATGGATTCAGTTTTATTTCTATTGCATTAACATCCGAGGAAATGTGAAATTTCGCGAGAACATAGATCTCGTAGGAACATTCCTCAAATCAGGACAGTTCAACGTATTTCATTAGCATATTTCCCGCGACGTTATGTTCCTTTGAAACTCATCCAAGTGTTTGACATCGTATTGGCTTGTCCTTTCATACGCACTCGTCGCGGCGCGCCTCACCCCAGGAGTCGGCTAAAAATTTACTCAGCCAGAATTCCTGCAAATGAAACAATTTTTATGGCTCGTACCCGGTGATTTTCAAAATGTCGAGGAAAAAAAAAAGAGGAAAGAATTCGCAAGCCAACGTTTCCCGAAATTCTGGAATGCTGGGCTTTAGAATATTTCGACGGGACTAGCGATCCCCTCGGTTTCAACAATTTTCTCTCTCTATCTATCTATCTATCTATCTATCTATCTATCTATTTATCTGTGTGCTGGCGAGACAAGAACGGAAACACAATTATGTACGACTTTAATCTCCATACATTACGAGCTGGAGGGACAAAGGTAACGCAATACACCCGGTACACCTAATTAATATGCTTGGCAGCTCGTCAATTAGAACAGAATAGAATACTCGTCAAGAATCACGTTAGTCCAAATGTTCAAACTCGCGGACGAGTCGAAAATTTCGTTTTAACACTGAAACTACCGGCGATTAAAATACGAGAGTGACTTAGTAATTATCTGCAACGTAGCAAGCAGTTTTTGTTTCGGAAGTGGCAAATATTCCTGTACGAACGTGTCGATCTTTGTTTATTATGATTTCAACAAGCTAGCTTAGCTTTTTGTTGCTCGAGGCCGTGGTAACAGACGAACGATATTATGTTTACGGTAGGACGAGCAACGCGCTGTAACTCGGTTTTTGTCATCTGTAGGAACATAAGCTTCAGGACCTTCAATACGGTAGGACATTCAAGATGTACACAGTGCAGTGTGATATTGATTAGTTTAAAACCGGTCGCGGAGGACTGAAGACGGAGCAGCTTGCTTCTTGCAATTTTCTGAGATTTTCCATGGAAAATCTTGTACAGTGATGGATCAGGTGCGTTTCGATACTCAGAACGTTTTGTCTATATTGAAAAATGATGTCGTTGTGAGCCTTAGATTGTTACATTGCGGGTAATTATTAAATCACTCTCGTATGAAACTTGTATTAGAAAAATGAGGGATAGAAGAAAAGAGCACAAGCTTACATTTATATAAGTATTTTACGAAAAGTGACTCGAATCTTTATGAATGCACTTGTAAATTAATGAAATTTCTGTTACGATTGGTCATTTCGATAGTGTTGCCAGCGTCAAACATTTTGATATTATTTTTCGCAAACTTTGACGAAATATCGTCGATATTTTTGCATGAGAGAGAGAGAGAGAGAGAGATAATTAACGATGATTGTGCGTCAGAGAATCGATCGAAGAATCAGCTGTTGGAGCTATTCGGTTTGTCCCTATTGGATTCACACGAGTGGATTAAAGCAATTTCTCCTTTACAGATTATCGGATTCGATCAGTCCCGTCTGTCCCCAAAAGCTGCCGGACATCTCAAATGAGCAAGAAGCGTTGGAGCGTATGCCGAAAGGACGGTTGGAGTACTTGAAGAGGTTGCTGCCACACCTGCGGAATCAAAGCGAAGATTGTCTCTACCTGAACATTTACGCACCGGCGATGGGTGAGTAATTTTGCACGTCCTTTGCTGCAAGAAAAGTTAATGCTTCTTACATTCTCGAGCTCAACAACATGGTCGTAACGTTGATCGCTCGATTGGAAATATATCCTGCGTTGTGTTGAAACTTACCTCGAAGTTCAATGATGTGTAGGACACTCGTTCAAAAATCTTGACGCAAATATTATATTTGTTTAAAATTTGTTCGTACGGGCAAGAATTCCTTGACGATTATTATGACATATGCAGACAATTTAGGAGCTTCATTGTTGGACTTTATACTCGATTGAATTGAATTTTCATACAAATAATAAATCAGTTTCACATTTCAAACGTAGCGTAGGAAAAGTGACGTTATCTTGTGTTTCAATCAAATAGATCATGATGGTTAATTAAAGTAATGTAACAATGATCCCAGACGATGTTTTACGTAGGATTTGAACGAGAATTTGTAATGTTCTATTAACTAAAGTAAACGATTCTATTAACTAAAGTAAACTAGTTATTAATGAAAATGCAGTGTACTATCTCGAGGATAACTCTCATTTATCTTTGTTCTTAATTCTCTATCTGAACATGTTTATACTCGATATTTTAAGAAATGTTGTCGTTTCTCACACAGTTGACAGTATTCACATAATAAAATGAGAAGTTGATGTAAAATACATTTTCAGTCAAAAAATTATTTATCTTGACAATCAGATAATGAAATAATTTGGCGAAAAGCTACTTGCTTGTTCTAACATGCCCAAACCTGATACAAGTAATGAATATTGAGAACAAAAAGTGTCCTGAGATTTTTGAACGAGTGTACAAACAGTTGAATCGAAGGGTGATCATTTTATCATTGAGTGATGTTTCTCAGAATCTTGGAAATTGTCATGGTCGACAGGAATTCGATAAAAAAAAAAAAAATTATCGCGGCTGATTCGAAGCAGGATTTGACTTCAAATTGGAAATATCAGCGCGATAATATTCCAATTTAAATTCGAATTTATGTTAAAAATTGAATGAAAAGCTCGGTCAGTTCTATTTATTTGACGTTTAGCACATTCGCAAAGAGCACATGCGAAGCACAAACGAAGATCGATATTCATCGGCTGAAACGGAAAGATGTACGCGCGCAGCAACGAGTTAACGAGAGTGAGGAAAATTATAAATGAGACCGGAACCGCGGAGGATCCACTTTATATGCGAAACTATCGCGAACGAAACGTGGCGTTTTAATATTAAGCATACTTGTCGATGTTGAATACACAAGTAGCTCGATGTAGTCCCCACCGTTGTAACTTTCTGACCTCGTTCTTTCCATCCGCAACTTGCGCGGTATCAGTAAACATGATAAAGACACACGAAACTAGATTTCAGGCAGGCTAGGCGCGTGCCGAGCGCAACTTTGCTACCTCGTTCTCGGGTAGGCTTTTCACCGGATCCGCTTCTTCAAGAAGCGGAATCTCGTTCGAAAGACGGCCGGTAGTTCCGGCAAATTAGTTCACCGCGAATACGTTCCCTTATTTTTATTTCAAACGAACGAAAAGCCATCGCCTCTCGTTTCCTTGGAAACACGTGCTCGTTGAGAGTCTCTCGCCGTCACTTGAACAACCGCGACATGTTACATTCACCGAATAATTAATATCAATTGTCTCAGCCACTGCTCGGAAAGAACCGCGAACACAGACGAAACGCTGCAAGGGGCAATTGCAATTTGCAGTTTCATTTTTCGGCGAAAGGTTCCTTGTCCTGAGGGCAACGGCCTTCTTTGCCGGTTATTTCTCTCACGCCGCGTGCAACGAGCAGGGAAAGGAACGGCTTCAATAATAATACATCACGACGTTTACCCCGCGAAATAGGAAAATTTTACTTTCTCGCCGCGCCTTAAAACTCACTCGCAAACCTAGCCTCCTGCGCCCCGGCTCCTCTTGCAGCCTCTCCCGTGCCGGAAATTGAACGGCGTAAGCGTCAGGAACGCGACATTTCCCTGCGAGATACGCGTGTACACGTGTTTACGCGTCTGTGGCTTGGAGAATCAAGGGAGGAAAGTGCACGAGGCGGAGTCGAGGCTGGTAAAAATGCGTCATCCTGAGGGGACAAGTTCATCAACGTGGTGGAAGAGGGTATTGTCAGCGAAAATCGGCGCGTCGGGGAAAATTTTATTCGAATGACGAGTGAGGAATAAAATATAACAGCCTTGGTTTTATTCGCCATTGTTGAATAAATGTCCAATCGAATCGAGTACGAAAATCTGATCGAATAATTTGTACAATGTATTCAGACGATGTTATTACCGAGTAGGATTTTATTCATTTAACTAGATCATGTCATACGTGAAGAAGTGTGTTCGGTATATTAATGCGGAGCAATTCTTTTCACATTGGTCACATATAGTTAAACTTTTTTTTTTTTCAAAAAGTTACTCGTATACGTGATCAAACATATTCGTATGAACGAAACACGTAATACAAGTAATTATTTGCATTATTAATAAAAAAATGTTTGCAATCGTCATTCGAGTAATCAGAAATGACTAGACTGCGGATTTTTATGCATTTATGAAAAATTTAAAAGTACAAAAATGCATAGAATGTACATGATACACGAAGATGTGAAAAATTTTTCTACTACACGTTTGACACTGGATTCGTCGTTATTTTCGTGTATTATTGGCCGATCACTTTATAAAAAGAATGATTTTATTGGCTGGTAATAAAAGAACTGAATAACGATGTTGATCTCATTCAATGGCATGGAAGTCGCTTGTTATCCGTAAGCTCACTTACGTCTCATTTTAAATAGATACTATCTTTAACTTATGTAGTACCTCTGCGAAGCAGCTTAAATCGTTGGCTTCCGTCTTACCAATTCATTGAACGACAAAACTTACTGTGTCTTCAACTTTGTTAAAATTAAATAAAAGAGACCGAGCAACCAGTCTAAGCAAACGATCGAGAATCAAAAAGACTGTTTCTCAGATAAAAATACACCGCTGCTAACATATTCATCACGACTGTTAACAGCATCTTCTATCGATCCCGTGTCAATATCCTCTATCGAAATGTTAACGCGCCTGACTTTGCAAATTACGTAGCGTTCGCTGTTCGAAATTGTCCACCCACTGACATTCGGTTAATCGCTGAACAACTAGTTTGCAAACCAACACCACCGCCGTTCATATTTCGTGATCCAACGTCCGACAAACTATCGCGCGTTGCGAGTTCGAGCGAGTCGACGTTGGACATTCGTCGGGAGCAATTTCATTCCACTCTAACGAGCAAGACAACGTGACTTAGCGCTGAACTGAAAGACGAAACGTTGGTCAAGAGAAAAAAAAAAAAAAAAAGAAAAAAAAAAAAAAAGAAAAACAACGAAAGAGTATCTATAACCCGGAACGGATTGTATAGCCACCGAGTTTTCTCCCCGTATTTTCCGAGCGGGGCTTCGACCATTCGGCTAATTTGCCGAGCAACGGGCAACAACACTGGCTTCTGTGTTCACCGTGACCGTCCTCGCTCGCTCGTGGTCGTCGTGGTCGTCGTCGTGGTGATCGTTCGCCGCGTCTCGCGCTTCTATCCACGCCAGTCTCGAATCGTAACGCGGTGGTACCGCACGCGCTGCTGCTCGCCGCCTCGGGATCGCCTCCTGGTCCACGGAAACGTCACCCCGGCTTGGGTGTACGTCGTCGGTGTTCTCTGTCGGCGACAGCCAACGACAGTTTCGCTTTCTTTCTTACATTTTTTCTTTTTTTTTTTTTTCTTCTTCTTCTTTCGTTTCTTCTCTTTTGTTTTTTTTTCTTTTTTTTTTTTGTTTTTTGGTTTGTTTGTTTGGCAGTTTGTCGTGGGTGCGTGCAATTTCCCCGGCAGAGTGTGTGTGCGTGTCGATCGATCCTCGATCCTCTGTTCGTCGGCGGCCTCCCCCCTTGCCACCCCCAACGTGTGTGTTTCTCTGGTTTCTCCTTTCTTTCTCTCTGGCTTCGTGGTGCGACGAACGTGTGCGTGTGCCAGTGGCGAACGACGCGACGCGACGCGACATCGTGCTTTTTTCGTAATTTTCGTAATTACGCGGTGTGGTCTGGTTCCCTCAGAGTGGTGGTGAGAAGAAGCGGCGGGATACAAGGAACGCGGGAAGAAAAAAGAAGAAGAAGAAGAAGAAGAAGAAGAAGAAGAAGAAGAAGAAGAAGAAGAGAGGTGATAGCAGTGGTGTGATATTTCGCGTGATTGCGACCCTTGGCGACTCCGGAAGGATACGTTCTCCTACGGCGAGAGAGAAAGAAGAAGGAGGAGGAAGAGGAGCCCGAGAAAGAGAGAGAAAGAGAGAGAGAGAGAAACCCGTTAAGGCGGTACGAGTAACGTGTCGGTGGAAGTTCTTGCGATTGATAGGGGGACTGAGAGAAAGAGAAAAAGAGAGAGAGAGAGAGAGAGAGAAAGGGAGAGAGCGAGGTCTCTGAAGGTAATCGGTAGCATCAACCTGCGGTGCAACCTCGACAAAACCGATCCGTGGCGAGCAACGATCCCTTTCGCCTTCGCTTCGTCGTTCGTCTTCTTCACCGGGCGACGAGCGGCCACCTTGCGCGTAGATCACACGATCGTTGGACCAGGTCGCCTCGATGCTACCTCGTAAACCAATCCCGTGGTTCCCGATCTTCGCCAACAAGCCGTTCTGACTGCGCGCGTCGACGAGAGAAGGCCGAGCAGAAGGCCGGGATCGCGGACAGAGAGACTAAGCCAAAGGAGGCGACAGTGTCGTCGGGCGCGTTGGCCGCAATAATGCGAGAGCATCGCCGAGAACGCGGCGCGTGGACGACAACGGCGGGCCAACAGTTGATCATCTTTGATCCGCGCCCGGTGGCGAGACCAGCGCCGCGAGGATGAGGTGCGTTCCCATTCGGGTGGAACTGAATCTCCTGCGTGATCCCTGCGTGATACTTTCTTACTACCATCGCTGCTGTGTGCGAGTCGCGCGCCGAGACACAGCGTCCGTCTCAATCTCGCGGAGAAACGGCGATAGAGAGGAGGAAGGTAAGGGAAAGGGAAAGAGGAAGAGGAAGCCGAGATAATCAAAGGAAAGCGGTGGGAAGAGGAAGAGGAAGAGGAGTGTGGATGAGACCGTCATGCCCGCTGAGATCGACACGGGCGGGCCAACGGTGCTGCACTGTGATTACCGTGCCGACTGCCCGATACCGATCGTAACGTCGTCAGTCGTTGAGAGAGTTGCCACGTTGACGACGATCGTCAACGCACGCCACGGAGGAGTATCGCGGATCGACGGTGATCGACGAGTATCTTTGCCCCGTGCCCCCGGATTTCGCGTCACCGGCTGTCACGACGCGTCGACGCTTGCGACCGAACGACGATCGACGATAACAGAGACGAGGAAGATCGTCTCTTGGCGCCGATCAAAGGACAGACGAGACGAAGACGAAGAAGAAGAAGAAGAAGAAGAAGAGGAGGAGGAGGAAGAGGAGAGTAGCTGCTCGCGCGCGAATCGTCCGTGGACGAGCGGTGGAATCTGGCCGCGGTATGGGATCGCGCGTCGTGTCCGAATAGGGAAGTCAACGCGGTTCTCTAGTCAGCCGGGCGATACCGATCGGAGGTGCGAGGAGGAGCTGGTCGTCACGAGCTTGGCCCCGTCCTTGGCCGAGGAAGGAAGAAGAAGAACCACCGGCAAGGAAGTGGAGTACGCGAGCGCGGTTCGTAGTGGCGAGTCGCGCGTCGCCAAGGTCGCGGCGGCGAGCTGCACCGATCGCTGCCGGCGGCCCGACTCTCTTTCGTTCGAGCGCCGCGAGTCCTTGACGAGGAAGCAGAGGAGAAGACGCGCGTGCACGGCCACCGTTCTCGGCGTTCGACGTTCCACGTACGTTCAGTTGGCGTTGCTGCTGTTCCTCGTCGCGTTCGGTCAGTGCGGGCTACGCAAGTCGCCGAGTGCGGGCTTCGCTAACGGTCATCGCTGCTGCACGCGGCCGAGCACCGCCGTCGGTTTGAGCGTGTTGGCGATCGGGACGGTTATCAGTGCAGTGAGTGCAGCGCCGGTCGATCTCACCGGCGACGCCGGCGTCAGGGCGGAACGATCGGCCAATTTGTCGCACATCACCGGCGCCTCGAGAAAGATCCAGATGTACATCAAGAACCGGCACCTGCAGATCCTGCCGGACGGCACGGTCAACGGCTCCAACGACGACACTTCCGATTACAGTGAGTAAAAATAAAAGCTTTTGTCACTTTACCTTTAATATTTTTTTTTTCTCCTTCTTTTTTTTTTTGCAATTTGGTTTCGTTTCACACACTGCGTCTGAGGAAAGTGGAAACGATCGTTTTCTCAGCGATCACGACGTTTCCTGTGAATCGTCGAGAAAGAACGAACGAGGTTTTTTTTTTTTAAAATTGACTCTCGCGAACGATCAAATTGATAGTGTGCCAATCCACGATCGCCTGGCGATGAAAGACTCGTTGCCCCGAAGAAAGATCGCGTCGCCAACTGTTTCGAGATACTTTTCGTTTACAACTTTCCGATCCATCGTGTTTCCGCGATAAAATTCTGAGTTGTTTTTCTTCATTTGCTTTTTTTTGTATTTGGAACCGTAGTATGTTCACATACGCGTGGAAAGAAAATTGGAAGACAAATAAGAATTAGATAAACATTCTAGATAAAAATCTTAAATAGGAATTTTATTATTTGAATAATTCGCGGATGTTACTTTTATTTGAGAGTAGATTTTTTTTTTTTTTTTCTCCATATCAAACGCGCGAAAGATAAAACAGGAGCAAAAATTTCAGAGCATCTGTATCGATATCTATGAAAACAAGCTCGGTGTTCTTGCTTTGAATTTTCGTACATTTCTCATTGATATAAACGTGCTCTTCTAATCAATGTATCGTTTCGCTATGAAAAGTTGGTTTGATATCCTCAAAAATAATGTGGGTTACATTAAACTGATAAAAAAAACATGTACACTGTGACAACTCATGCTTTAGAACTTGCCAGTTCATTGTGTTTCTGCGATAAAATTGAGTTTTTCTTTTTCTTTTTTTCTCTCTCTCAACTGGTACCGATGGATGGTTTTTGCTTCGTTGTGGAAGCAAAGAGCGAATTGTAGAAATGAACAGAAAATTAAAGATTGAAAATTAAAGATAACATTTGCCACTATCGTTTTATGGAGAATCGATAAATAATATGTAGAGTAAAGTAGGGTAAAAACCAGGGTACCGTTGTTTCTTTTAAAGTAAGAGCTTCGATAGGCAAGAAGAACTGTGGCACGACATCCGCGACATTATGTGGCAAATTTCAGAGCAAACAGCATCGTTCTGTTTCACCTAGACAGAGTTACAAATTTTGACTTGAAGAGCTTCAATGTTTCGCGAGTGAAGCGACTGGCTTTTAGTGTTTTCACATTCAGGAATCCATTTAGATAAGTAATATTTGTACTCTGTAGTCATTGTGGAGTATCTTGACGCTTCTTTCACCTCTCTGTCTCATACTGAAGTATAGATATGTAATTTTTTAGTAAATTAATGCATTTGAGGCGAGATAGGGTGTTTGGCTATGGGGCAGAAAATCGGATTCAATGCACTGTGTGTTACGTGATGAGCACGTGTACAAGTGTTGAACAAGTCCTCGAATATTTTATTTGCAATTTTTCTTCTATTAATTAAGATGTATATATGTCGAAATAATTCAAACTTTTTATAAATACGGTAAAAAGTTCCTAAACCAGTAATTAACATATTTTTTTATTAGACAGACCGGATAGAATAACTTTATGTTTGCTGAAATTGTCAAAAACAATTGTTCTTACCATTTTTTAACTAACATAAATAAAAATTCAACAGCTGTATTGCTTTTTATACGTGTTTTAATAGATCTTTTAATATTCGATTTTGTCCACATTCCATGGGGCAAAACCAGGTACCTGTATATCCTTTAGAAAATTTTATTTCCCCCCCGAGCCAAACAATTCTTTCCAAAAATTTTGGTCATTTCAATGAAGAGATTTAGTCTTGCGCAAATTTCTGTTTTTGCCGTCCGACTTTCTGTGACGAAATTACATACAACTTGGTGCCCGATTTCACCCTACTTTCCAAATCGAAATTATATTTCACGCTCTTGGAAACAGTTCTCTCCCTACGTATGGAGATCTATTTCCGTAGATAATCGATAGTCGGTTCGCCGGACAGAGCTTTGGAAATTCGATTTCGTACGACCTTATTTCGAGACTCTGGCCGAACGTCTCGAAAGTTCGTGCGATTCCAAACAAATCGAGTCGAATCGAATGAAAATTCGCGGAATTCTGAAGGGGCGCTAAGAAATTTCAAAGTCTCTCTCTGATCTTCCCCTTTCGAGCAGCGAAATGAAAACTAGTAGTAGTGAATATGATATGAAAAGGAAAGGAAAGAAACGAGAAAGAGAGAGAGAGAGAGAATCGGCGAAATTAACGAGAGAATGCGATCAGGTCTGCGGCTGGGCCGAGAGAGCTGATCCAAGAATATGCGCTGCCTAGTACGTGCACCTCTTCTCTTCGTTGGTCCGCGTTAACCTTTGAAAACTTTCCGATGGTCTGTCGTTCGTGCCTCTAAATTCACGTCGACCGGACGAACTTTCTTTTTTCAAACGGGGATGCAAGTGGCCAACGTCGCCCTCCTTCTCCTTCTCCTTCTGTTTTTTTCTTTTTTCTAACCATCGTTTAACTGCAGTCGAATTTTTTCCCACTTCTCGAAACGTTTTTCTCCACCGAAGTTGAAAGTTGAACGTTTGAGGTTAGGTTCGCAAAGAGTGGGAAATTGATTCGTCGCGTTGGAATCGGTTTGTTCTTTGAATTAATTTTTATTGCATTGACGCCATAATTCTATCGTGCTGAAAATTTATAAAAATGCACTTATTTCATTTATTAGAGATAGGATACTTTCCGAGTCATCTTGCAATATGGCCGACGAAAAGTATCTTCAACCTGTATTTACTTCTCGAGAGGAACGGTTTTCAAAAATTAAATCGTGTCTTTTTTTTTCTCCTTATGCAAGGTTTGGGTCGAAAGTTTCTTCCCAACTTTTTCTTCTCTTTTAGTGAAACATCATATAAAAAAATCAACAAAACATCAATTACATAATATAACATAACGTACAAATGAAAACATAATACAAGAAAAATTAATTTTACTAATTTCAAATTAAATTCAAGTTCAAAGTTTTCTTTTTCATTGTGTTTTAAAAATTATTTCTTTCAGATGTTAAAAAAAAAAATTGCTAAAAATTTGCTAAAATTTGCTAAGAATTTACTTTAGCTAGGAAGTAAGTTGGCCCACCCTGTATTTGGCGTAAACGTACAGTTTCTTTGAAAACATGGGAAAAAGAAGAAACCAGCCTTTCACGAAACACTCGCTCAACTCTCCTAACGATCAAACTTACGTAAGAATTCGTGAACAATTCGAGTTCGAATGCGACATTCGAAAATAATTGAAAGAAGTTAGTATGTATACAATCGAATGTTATTTCAAACGAACGTGTTACGTAACCGATTTATTTATTGCAATTGTTACGAGCAAAAACTGTACGAGTTACGTCCAATCTCCTTTGATAAAGGACAGCTTGATCTTTCAATCAAATCGATTGAAGTCGTTCGTTTTCCCCATTTCGTTTTGGGCCTGAATGATTTAATCGAGCGATTTGAACACACTCCTCGCCAAAATACTTTTGGCTTGCCAATAGACACCGCGCGCGCCGCTCGACACATCAGTGACTAACTGTTCTATTTTCGACTCTCTTCCGGTGTTGTTTTTAACCATTTTGTATTTTGATTTACTTGTGCGTGTAACAGTTCTGTCGAACCACGCGCACATACGAGGGACGATGTCCGACTATTCAACTTGATCGCAGCAATGATAAAAATGTACAGTTTCGCTCGAAAAGAGGTTAGGTTTGAACTACACGTCTCATTATCGTCATATTATATTTCATCTGTTTCAATTATTTATCTATTTATCGATCGTTTTTCACTTTTTATTTCTGTCGTTTGTTATTTCGTTATACTTCGTCTATTTTATGTTCAGCTTCGCTCGAAAAGAGGTTAGGTCTAAATTACACGTCTCATTATCGTCATATTATATTTCATCTGTTTCAATTATTTATCTATTTATTGATCGTTTTTCACTTTTTATTTCTGTCGTTTGTTTGTTATTCCGTTATACTTCATCTACTTTATGTACAGTTTCGCTCGAAAAGAGGTTAGGTCTGAACTACACGTCTCATTATCGTCATATTATATTTCATCTGTTTCAATTATTTATCTATTTATTGATCGTTTTTCACTTTTTATTTCTGTCGTTTGTTATTTCGTTATATTTCACCTATTTTATGTACAGCTTCGCTCGAAAAGAGGTTAGGTCTGAATTACACGTCTCGTTATGTTTCATATGTTTCAATTATTTATCTATTTATTTTATGTTTTATTGACCGTTTTCCACATTTTATTTCTGTCGTTTGTTATTTCGTTATATTTCAACTATTTTATATATAATTTCGCTCGAAAAGAGGTTAGGTCTGAACTATCTCATTATCGTCATATTGTATTTGTATCTGTTTCATTTATTTATCTATTTATTGATGGTTTTTCACTTTTTATTTCTGTCATTTCATTATATTTCATCTATTTTACAGTTTCGCTCGAAAAGAGGTTAGGTCTGAACTACACGTCTCATTATCGTCATATTATATTTCATCTGTTTCATTTATTTGTCTATTTATTTTACGTTTTATTGACTGTTTTTCACTTTTTATTTCTTTCGTTTTTTATTTCGTTATATTTCATCTATTCTATGTACAGTTTCGCTCGAAAAGAGGTTAGGTCTGAACTACACGTCTCATTATCGTCATATTATATTTGTATCTGTTTCATTTAGTTATCTATTTATTTTATGTCTTACGGACCGTTATTTACTCTTTATTTTTGTCGTTTTGTTATTTCGTCATTATTATCGTCATGTTATATTTAATCTATTTTATGTACAGTTTCGCTCGAAAAGAGGTTAGGTTATCGTCACATTATATTCCATCTATTTCATTTATTTATCCTGCAAATCTGCTAACAAACGTTACGTTTCGATCGTCTTTCCAGCTCTTGTAAAATCAAAATTTTCCTCGGGGGAATTTTATTTATTTCTCGCCTGCCAATTACCGTCGCCGCTGTGGCTCTCGCGAAATCGGTC